AGACCCAAATGACCCAATTAAATGATGGGCCAAAGATCTAAACAGAGTTCTCAGAAGAGGAAAGAGATAGCTATGAAACATCCTAAAAAGTATTCAATATCATTAGCAATTATGGAAATGCAAATTAAAACCACCCTAAGATTTCATCTTACCCTCAGTCACCAGTCAGACTGGCTAAGATCAAGATAACAAATGATACCAAATGTGGGCAAGGATGTGGAGAAAGGAATGCTCATTCACAGCTGGTGGGTTTGCAAACTCAGGAAATCCCTATGGAAAGCAGTGTGGAGAACTCAAAAAAAAAAAAAAAACCTAAAAATGAACCTACCATATGACCCAGTTATACCACTGGTTGGCATATACCCAAAGGACTCATCCTATTACAGAGATACTTGTACAACCATATTTATTGCTGCTCTTTTCACAATAGCTAAGAGATGGAAGCAACCTAAGTGCCCCTCAACTGACAGGTGGTTAAAAAGTGAGGTGCATTTACACAGTGGAGTTCTACTCAGCAGTAAAGAAAGATTAAATAATGAAATTTGCAGGTGAATGGATAGATCTAGAAACTGTTATACTAAGTAAAGTAGCACAGACTCAGAAAAACAAAAGACATATGTTCTCCTTCATTTGTGGATCCCAGCGCCAGATCCTTATAAGTGAGTGCACATCCTGATATAACTGCAGGAACCAGAAATATGGAAGGAAACTAGGGAGGTAAAGGAAAGAAGGAAACAGAGAATAGTAGGAGACAGGTGTTACTAGGGGAGATATGTGTAAAAAGGGGATAGTTAAGTGGGAGTGGGAGGAGGGCTATACAGGGAACTATGGGAATAAACGGGAAGAAGGAACTCGAGAGGTGAGACCATAACAGACAGAAATTCTCAAGGAAGAAATAGGGAAGGAAAATGGGGATACTTTAACTAGAGAGGGAGGATAAGACAGGAAGAGAAAGAGATTTATATAGTGCCTAGCTAGTATAAAAAATGAGAGGGAATGGTATTAGTCCAAAAACCTACTAAAATATTACACATACAATATCTCTACATGAGTCCATGAGTATAGCTGAAGGCTGCATAACAAGAAACAGTGCCAGACAGGAGAAACCTTCCTTTGAGTTTTTGGCCAGGGTAGTCCAAGAGACTCCCCAAATTACACAGGCTATTGCTGAAGTCCTTGATTGCCTCCCAGAACTTGATGGTAAGACCCTATTGCTGAAAACAGAACATACTTTGGACACAGGATTTGGAGCAGCAGAGCTGGAACTGACCTGGAAGCCACCTCCCCTGAAAGCTAGCTCTCATAGCTTTGGAGATCACTATGCAAGGATCACTGTTAAGGGAGAACATCAGTCAGCGGTCTAACCCCACCTTCAGGGCCTAAAATCCACATCAGTGACCAGCATAGCAAACGGCATTGGTGCAATAGTGGCACTTTTATCTTGGGGGTAATCAACAGCTACCTAATTGGACTTAAGGCCCACTCAATGGGAGGAAACTCATATTTGATACTGTAAACCTAGCCAAATTTACATAGCTGGAGAGGTCATAGATCTTAAGAGAAACTCCAAGGCTATCACATCCCTGGACAAATGTAATTTCTTACTATGTGCAAAATATGGATCCTTAAATCTATAGACAAGTATCCTAGTCACCAACCATCAAAGAAGCTTCTTTTTCAAGAGACAGAAATAGTTACAGAGTTCCACAACTGGTCACACACAGAGATTGTCTGTGAATTGCCCAAGCCTAAGTGCCACATCTAGGATATAACCTCTACACCTGAGGCTCATGGAACATAGAACAGGGGATGAGGAGAACATTAATGCATCGTTCAGTTGTCATCAATGAAGCTCCCTCATGCAACAGAGGGCCAGGAAATCAGAAGGTCACAAATGGCCATAACTCAGAATAAGAGTCTCCAGAGTGTGGGTCCTTGGGCAGGACTCCTATATTAAAATGCCCCCACTCAGGGATCATTGCAAGAGAGGAGGGCAGAAAGATTGTAAGTGCCAGGGAGGAGGTGCATGACCATATGGAAATAGTCCTACAGGCTCCTGGGACTCTTCTCACAGGAACCTGCAGCAATGGTGTCAGCATGCACAAGACCCATGCAGACTTAAGCAGACAGAAACCCAGCACAGAGCTGTGGAAATGAACAGCAGGCCCCAATCTTAGTTGAAGAATTATTGGCAGCCGATTACTGCTGGGTGAGAAAGAGCCGATCTTTTTTTTTTTTTGGTCATTTTGAGACAGGGTCTCCCCAGGCTGGCCTTGAACTCACAGAGATCCGCCTGCCTCTGCCTCCTGAGTGCTGGGACTAAAGGCATGCGCCACTACACCAGGCCAGAGCTGACCTTCTTAAAGGGAGGGACTCTAGATAGGCTGACTAGATCCCAGTGGGTGAACTTGCACTGAGGGACATCTGGGTACACTAACTTTACTTGATAGTCCTTAACACAAATGACAGAATGTATGAACTCCAGTTGGGGTGTTATGGGAAAGTGACAAAGGAGAAGGGGGTATAAAGGTGACTTTCTATATGAAATACACAAAAATTCAATTAATTTAAAAAATATATTAGATGACATGAAATTGGGAAAAGGGTAGAGGGGAGGGATCTGAATATGATTCAAGACACATTGTATGAAATTCTAAAAGAACCAATAAAATGTATTTTAAAACTTAAAAAAAAATGTCAGATTCAGCTTAGTAATGCTCTTCTGAAGACAACCCTGCAGAATCTCTGGGTTGGGCCTATTGTTTCTCAGTGCACACTTGACTACTTAAATGTTTTGTCAGGGTTGCTCACCTTTCTTGTGCTGCCTTATGTTAATCATCTTACTTTATTCACCTTCTCACCCAGTGAATTAACTCCCGTTTCTGTTTCCCAATTCTCCCAAGTATGCAAAGCCCGCTGTTGCTTGGTTATGTCTCTCAACACCATTGTCCCCTCAAAATATCTCACGCTCAAATCCTGTTAAGCTGTACGTTTACGTATGTTTCATTCTCCTTTCCTTTTAGTTCTGCAGTAATGATTTCTCTGTAATATCTTTCTTCTGCCCTCACAACATCTCAGATATTTTACAGAGTTCTCTGCCTTTACATCTTAAATCTCTGTGCATATCTTGAGTGGTTATTTTGAGTGTTCTTTTGCATTGGTACCTTTGAGTACTGCCTTCTATTGTTTTACCAGATTATGAGTTAGTTACAGGCACAAAAAGAGAGAAAGGCTTAGGAAAATAGTTTATTGCACTCCTGGTTCCTGGAGACAAGAGATGCACGACATTCCTAGAGAAGCAGTCAGTCAGAAGTCAAAAAACAGAAGGGAGGGAAAAGTTTAGACAGCCACCTTTGTTGAGTTTCCATAGGAAAGGAAAAGCGGGACAGGATGGACAGTCTAGGATTAGCTAGTTTGAATCATTTCAATGCTAAGTATTCACTAAGCCTAGGAGAGATAGTCTCTCCCCAGCCAGAAAGTGTTTTTTAGTTGTTAACACATCATAATATTTTCACAGATTAAAATATTTACAGGAGAAATACCATACCATCATCCCATCCCCTCAAGAGGCAAAACCATAGCAAATAAACAGTACTGAGTGATAATGCTATTAGCAGTGATCTACAGTACCAGACATACTGGAATTCAGTTGATCTCATGTTGTTATCTGATGCTTTTCGATTTATAAGGAACTTGTTTTCATTGTTATGGGAACTGAAAAGTAGGATCAGTGTATAGAATTTTGATGGATGAGGACCTGTAATGGTAGAAATTAGCACTGTTTTAGAAATAGTGTAACAGATTCTGATGGTGTAGACCTATAATCACAGCCCTTGGGAGACTAAGGCAGGAAAATAACAAGTTTGAGGCCATCCTTGGCTACATAGTAAGTTTGAGGCCATTCTGGACTATGTGAGACACTGTCTCAAAACAAAACTGAAGGAATGGGGAAAAATACATGTACAGCAATCTGTACTTTGCCATTGAAGAAATGAGTACAACTATCTTGTTTTCTTTGTATAAAGAATGGGCTTAGCTATCAAACTGCCTTTCGATAAAGGGTTTCCATCAGTGCTTGCTCTTCATGATGTCCAGGAATTTCTTCTGTGCAAGTGAAATACTTAGTAGGATGAGAGCAGAAGCTAGCTCCCCTTTTTTAGGATTATCTCCCCTTTTACAACAGTAAAGTGATCTTTTCCTTAAAGCCGTCGTAAATTCCATGGCCATTTCAATCCCAGTTGCTCCAATTACTGCATCTCTCTGCACTGCAGCCATGTCTCATCATCGTCACTCACTGTTTTCTTTTTTGTTCCTGCTGCTTAAGCATAGTTGGTAAATATTTGTTCTGAAGTCCTGCCTTTTGAAGATAAATCGTTTTACTGTATTTTTTAAATAGTAATATTTTTCTTTTTTGAGTCATATACACGTATACAATAAAATATGATTATATCTTCCCAAACATGACCCCCTCCCAACTTTGTAATTTTTTTTTTATTTTTATTTTATTTTGATATCCCACTAGGTCCCATTAGTGTTGCCTATATGTGCATGGGTGTGGGGCTGTCCACTGTAGCACAGGAAACCTATCACTGGTAATACCCTCAAAAAAGAATGATTCTCCCTCCCAAAGCAGCAATCAACTGCCAATAGCCCCTCATTAAGGGGTGGAGCCTGGAGAGTACCTCCCCTATTTATGTCAGTATTTTGGCTGACTTGATCTTATACAGGACTTGTACATAACCACAGCTGCTGAATCTGTGAGTGCCATATCCATGTCACATTCCACAAGACAGCATTTCACTGTACTCTACCTGTCTTCTGACCTCCTCTTCCAAGATGCTCTGTTTCCCTCCTTTTAAATCACTTCTTCTTGTTGAAGATATTTAGAAAAGTGATTGTACAAAAAACAAATTCCTGATGAATGTGGTAACTGAAGTTGAATACTTTGTTTCTTTTGGTTTAATTTCTCTTAATAATAAGTTATTTTGCTTGCTTTCCAGGCACACAAACGAATGGGCTGGACTTTCAGAAACAGCCTGTGCCTGTTGGAGGAGCAATTTCAACAGCCCAGGCCCAGGCTTTCCTTGGACATCTCCATCAGGTAGAATGTTTCACCCAACCATAACTGAAAGTTTTTTAAGACATAAAATGCTGAGGTAATTATTTTCAGATCATGTGTAACTGTATCATGCTGAATGGTTAGTATGGAATTAATGATTCAGTTTCCTGAATAGTTATCAATTCTATAATTGTGTAAAGAAAAGAATTCCATGTTGAATGGAATGTATGAACCACTGGGTCAGTGTTGCGAATAAACTTGAGTTTTGATGGCTACCTGAAGGACTGAATAACCGGAGCCATCCACAACAGCTGCCTCTGCCCTGAGACCTGCTGTTCAAGGCCAGAAGCTCTAAGCTCATAAATGGCTTCAGGCCATTTTAATTTGTATGACCACTCAGAGCTTTGCTTGACTATTCATCTCCTAATTTCAGATTTAAAAGACCTATTTCTATTGTATTATCCTTATGGCATGCAATTTTTTCCCTCGGTCTAAAAACAGACCATAGATTCTATTCTGTTCTTTAATTCTTATTACCACTCTTTTCATCAAAATATGTCATCTGACTACCTCTACTTGAAAATGAGATTCTAGAAAACTGTTCTGAAGCTTGTTTGTAAATGAAGCAAAGTTGGTAGGACTACAGCTTAAGCAATGTACTCTAAACAGGGCTTATAGCAGAAGGCATATATCTCATTACTGGGTTGCAAACTGCACACTTGACCATTTCCTTGCCAGGTATCCTTCCTGTAAGGTGATCGTTTTACCCTTCATAATTCTAAGCATCTGCGGAGAAATAGTTAAAGCCATGTAAATATCCTATTTTCATTTTGCCCATTAGTTAGATGATCTCTTGGTGACTCTTTTCTAAATCAGTTAGTAACATGATTACCAATTGATAGCTTTCGAATTGCATGTGTGTTTTTATTTTAATATGACCATGATTTGAACTTTCCGAATGTCTGAAATGTGAATATTAATATGACAGATTTTTCATGTGTGGTTTATAAGATAGATTTTTTTAGCTAGGATTTTTAAGTTACAACTATAAAAGTTTTAAGAACTCAGGGCTGGAGAGATGGCTCAGCAGTTAAGGGCACTTTCTGCTCTTGCAGAGGACTGGGGTTCAGTTTCCAGAACCCATATGGCGGCTCACAACACTCTATAATTCCAATTCTAGGGAATCTGACACCCTCTTCTACCCTCCCTGGGCATTACACACATACATATATGCAAGCAAAACACTTATATACATAAAATTAAAATATGTAAATAAGAAAAGTTTTAAGAACTCCATGTGAGACTTTTAGTCTGATCTGTACATGGAAATTTAAAATGAGGATTAGTGGATAGTTTTATTAGTTAATAATGATAAAAACAATACATGTGGTTAGTTTAGTTTTATGTGTTCTTCATGATGATATGGAAAGTGAGCTAAGTTTTTGTACCTAAGCATCCTATGAATACAAATAGAATTGTAAATAAAGAGGCCAGAGTATAAGTGTGGCTTGCTTGATAATGCTCACTTAGTGATGGTGCTTGTGTAGAAGAAATCAACTGCAGTTTCAGTTGAACTATGGCTTGTTTATAAAGTTTTCACAATATAAAATATACCTCCTGTTGGTTCAGTTCTAACTCAGTGACATATATTTAGTATTTGAAATATTTGTTGATGACAACCTTAGTGATGAATAGCAATATCCTAGACTAGAACGCCTCTTGATTACTTCTAGGTCCAGCTCGCTGGAACAAATTTACAGGCTGCTGCTCAGTCTTTAAATGTACAGGTAAGCATGGGTCAAATTTTCTCTTTATTTTTCCACAATTTCCTATAATGAGCACATAATTTATAATAAGAATTACTTGGGATTACTACTATTTGTTATTTTTATTATTTCTACATTTTTAAAAAATCTCACAAAGCTCCAGATGGTGATAATTGGTTGTTAGTCAGCAGGTGGGTCCTGGGAACCAAATCTGGGTCCTCTGCAAGAGCAGCCAATGCTCTTAACTATTGAGCCATCTCTTCAACACCCTACTTGTTTACTCTTTTATATTGTGGGGTTTTTGGTTTTTTTTTCTGCTGATGGTTTCTGTTTTCCCATTTATTTCAGAAGACTCACTCTTACTTTTGGAACATTGATAATGTCATTTTATTTAAGTTCAGTAAAATGTTTCTAAGCTATAAAACTGTAACATATCTTAACATAAAGCCAAATAACCTCTTAAGTATTCTTTTGTTTTCCAACTTTTTTATTTATCATGTTTTATGAAAGAAAATTGAACAGAGAATCATGGGACCCCCCCTGGGTTTTGAATTCTCATTGTGAAGCTAATTAGCTCTGTGACCTTTGGCTAAACACTTAACTTCCTAGACCACAGTTTTACTTGTCTGTATTTAAATGGGGACGTTGATAAAATTGTCAGCATTCTCAGCTCTAAACAGAAAAATAAAATCTGAGGGGCTGGAGAGATGGCTCAATGTTAAAAAGAGTGTACCGTTCTTGCAGAGGACCCATTTTCCATTCTTAGCACTCACAAACACCTGTAACTCCTGCTGCAGGGGATCCAGCACCCTCTTCTGGCCACTGCAGGAACACACACGTGCTTGCATGCACACACATAATCTTTAAAAAATGATAAAAAAATACCAAGATACACTGATGGTCACGTAGTCAAAAATAAAACGGAACTTAAATTTGGCCTTTTTGCTTCTCTGAACCAAAGGACAAAATTTGCAAGGTTCAAATATTTTGCATTATTACCTAACATTTCAATCACCTTCCTGTTTCAGTCAGCCTTCCATTGTAGTGTTTAAGTAACTAACAGTTGAGAGGGAAAAACAGTATTCTGGAAGATTGATTTCAGTTGCTAATGACTAAAGACTTTAGGTTGACCATTCCATGAAACATAGATCAATATGGACCTAGTAACACGTGGAAACAAGGAGAGAAAAGGAGATAATGTGACCTTCCTTTCTGAGGGAGAGGAGACAGAAAATTGCCTTGGTTGCCATGGTAAATTTAACATCCCTTAAAGAGATGTTGGCAAACAGGCTGTATCTCCAGTGCAGAATGTTTACAGTCCTGCACTGTAATTATCTTCAATGACTGGCAGAATTAATCAGAGCTTTTATGTTAATTAGCCTTCCTGCAGTCCCCAAAACAGGTGGTGGGAAATATGCAAATCTATGCAGAATTTTAATGTTCTGTATAACCAGTTTTAATTACCATTTAATTTTCGATCTGTGTTCTTTCTTGACTGTAGCATTTTCCCTCAAGCTTGTTTATTACTAGATGGAAGACACTGCATTTACAGTTCTTTAAAATAGTAGATTAAGAAATCTGTGGGTCAAGTAGTCAGTCCCTAAAGTAGTATATGAAGAAGTTTGAGGCTTGCCACAGGTATGTGTCAGGATGTTGGTATGAAAGATTGTATAATAGAAGTGAATTGAAAATGCATTCTTCCCCTACTCCTCATTGCAGAATTGAGGATTTGGGGTCATGAAACATTTTGTTGATGTGTAGAGGACCAATTATTTTTTATTTTTAAAAAATTACTGAAATTTGCTGGCATTGGAATAAAAGGTCCAAAAACTTAGTACATAAAGTAGAACGATAAAAGCATATAAGAAAGGAAATGGGGAAAATCAGAAAACTCACAATTGAACGGCCCATATTTCAAATAATTCTTGAATTACAGAGTTAGAAATACATTTCTTTTAATCATCTATTTCAAACATTTTATTTCCTATCCAACCTCACTTCAGTGTAAATCTAGTGAAGAATCGGGGGATTCACAGCAGCCAAGCCAGCCTTCCCAGCAGCCTTCAGTGCAGGCAGCCATTCCCCAGACCCAGCTGATGCTTGCTGGTGGACAGATAACTGGGGTAAGTTTTCACTGAGAAAATTGTAATAAACTTTGTCTGTGTCAGAACTGCCATTTGTTTATCATGTCTGATTAGAACTGTTCACTGCAGCTGGCAGTAGCATGCTACTATTGTGTCTTTAAGGAACTTCCTAGACCATAGAAGCTCCAGAAAAGGAATTACCTTTGTCATTACTTTTCATGATTTATTTTGTTACAGCTGCAGATGATCAGAATAAACTAAGGACTTTAATATTTTTAGGTGTTGCTTCATCATGCAAGGGCATCCTTGGCCATATGCTTGATGAAATGGCAGTTGTCACTTTGAAATTACATCATTGCAGGATAATTAAAGAATGGATTAATACCTCAGAAGAAAAAACATTATTTTAAAGTGTAATATTCTAAAAGCATGTGGCCTCTTATCTTGGCTGCATAATTTCTAATTACTAATGGGCTAATTACTTCATTTCCTTATACCTCAGTTTACTCTATTAAATGAAGATATTAATATCTTTTTAGAGTACTGTTATAATTTATATAAAACTCTTAAAACAGTGCTTGGCATGTAGCATTCAATAAATGTCACTTATTTTTACTGGTAACAAATTGGCCCGTGTTATGTTATATTAAGCTTTTAACTTTTCAGCTATTTTTGTTCTAAACCTTCAGAACAATTTCCAATGTTGAAAGTTTTTCTGTTCTTTAGGGAGAGTGAGTTAGGGAAATGATAAGAATGAAAGTAATCAACTGATATCAAATCAACCTTCAGAACTTTTTCTTTCATTTCAGTTAAGTGTGTTTTGGTGGTGGACATCTCTTTAAGAACCTTTGCAAATTTATTTACCAAATATCATCAATAGGGATTAATATATAGCTTTATTAAGGAAAGAAAGATCTAAATAATGCCTGCACACAATTTGAAGAGTATTGAAGTTTTGAACAGTTTGGCTTTGATTCTTATGTACAAATTGTTAGGTTAGACCCTGTTAGGCTAGAAGGAGTGTTGTGACACTAAATGACTATTCATGCAATTTAGATTGTGCATGATCCCTCCTTGCTTGATCAGAACATGGTACCAAAAAGGAAGGCCCAGCACACTTACTACTTTGGTGTAAGCATTTTGAAATGTTACATTATGAAAGTTTAAATTTGCTTTAAATGCATTTCCTGCTTTATTGTTTGGTTTTGGGTTTGAGTGACTAGTGTCTGTGATAGTAATAGGTATTCTGGATACCAGATTCATGTACCTGGAACTTCTGTTAGGTCTGAGCATTAGGGTTCATTTGCATGTAAGGAGAATGGCTGTTACCGCCTGTTTCCTAGAGATAATATATTGGAAAGAGAATGCAAAGTTGCAGAAACTGAATGCTTTTCAATGACAGAAAAGATTGTGTGAGGGAAGGCCCTATAAAGGAGATTTGGAAAAGAAACAAATAGTCACATCTTAAGATATAATTGAAATGATGGAATATGGTGGGGATTTCAGCTAATCGGAAGCAGCTGGGCCTTATCAGTTCTTTTCCTGGTCATATCCAGTATCCTTGTTCCTCATTCATCAGTTAATCACTTGCTTTTCTGTTGGGTGTAAATTTCTTTTCATATCCTGTCAGCATTGATTCTTTGTTTTCTTCCTTACTAGTTAATTACTTTTCTTGCCTAAACCCTAGGGCCCTGGACAAGCTTGAATGATTGTGTCTGTAGTGAGGATTCCAACTTTAATATGAATGCTCTGCTACTAATGGTAGTTTGATCATTGGTGGACATTTTAGCTACGTGCTTATCGTGTGAAGCTGAGTAGCAAGGGCCCAATACCACTTGCATTACCTATTTCAAAGCAGTTTGCTTGTATTGCAGGCCCTGTTTCTTCAATCCCCCTGTTTGTTCTGATTTTAGCTGACTTTGACACCAGCCCAGCAACAGTTATTACTACAGCAGGCCCAGGCCCAGGCCCAGCTGCTGGCTGCTGCTGTGCAGCAGCATTCCGCCAGCCAACAGCACAGTGCTGCTGGAGCCACCATCTCAGCCTCTGCCGCCACACCCATGACGCAGATCCCTCTGTCTCAGCCCATACAGATAGCGCAGGTAAGTTAGCCTTCTAGTTATTACTGTGGGTCCTTAAAAGCCTGAAGAACCCCTGATCAATGAGGTAAATACTACCCTTCCTTACCACTGAATTAGAAATACAGTTGTTTGCTCACCTGAGTTGGTATTATAAATACATAGCTAATTATTTGAATAACTTGCTGTTTATATTAAACGGCAATTTGTGAGTAAATGGTATATTTCTGAAGCAGGGAATTACTGTATTTATCTTAATTAGCTAATTACTACAGGCATGAAGCCTTTCATGTGCTCTACAGTAAATGTTGCCACCCTGTGAGAAAAACAGCAAGTCATCTGTGTGCTGAGGAATGATTAGTGCCATGGAGGACTGCAATAAAATATTATTTGATTTTAGTTTTCACATTTTCAGGTAAAATATCCAAAGATAATAAAAATTTATTTAAAGAATAATAAACAGTCAGACCAGAAAAAGGGAAGTAAGTAAAACCCTTTATCTCAAAGAAAGGAAAAAGGTATAAAGAGTTATGTTTAAAATGATGAAGAGTATAATGTTAAGCAACTGTCTACTTTCCCAGAGGAGATCAGAAGTGGACTTAAGTTGTGGCAAGAATTTAACTAGATATTTAAAAACAGAGGCAGATTCAACATTATTAACTGTGCAAGATATATTAAGATAATGATATTATCTTGATCAAGACTATATACTCTCAGTTATTTTGATTTGCCACTTTCTTCATCATCAAATAAATGTTTTTAGTGCCTGAACTGTGAGGCCTTCAGTTGAAATTAATATAAGTAAGATAATGTATATGAAAGCACTGAAAATCATAAACTATTAGAACCAGTAGGGTTATTGTTATGTTATAGGTCTGACTTTTTATGTGGATAACCAGTTTCTTTTAAAGTAATTCTTAGATGAGTATGGGGACACACACCTTTAATGCCAGCACTCCAGAGGCAGAGGCAAGTGGATCTCTGGGAGTTCTAGGCCAGATACACATAGTGAGACCCTGTCTCAAAAAAATTTTAATTTTTAAAGATTTATTTTTTAAAAATACTTTATTTGGAGCTAGAGAGATGGCTCAGCGGTTAAGAACACTAGTTGTTCTTGCAGAAGACCCGGGTTCGAATCCCAGCACCCACATGGCAGCTGACAACTGTCCATAACTCCAGTTCCAGGGGATCTGACAGCCTCTTCTGTCCACCGCAGGTACTGCATGAAATGGGTGCACTTACCTACATGTAGGCAATACACACGTATGCATAAAATAAAAGTAGTAAAAAATAAAAAAACATTTTATTCATTATTTTTATTTTATGTGTGAGTGTATTGCCTACATGTGTGTAAGTACACCCATGTCATACAATGCCCAAGTTGGGCAGAAGAGGGTGTCGGATCTCCTGGAACTGGAGTTATGGACAGTTGTTTGCTGCCATGTGGATTCTGGGAATTGAACTCAGGTCCTCTGCAAGAGAGGCCAGTGCCTTTAACCACTGAGCCATCTCTCCAGCCTCTAGATTTATTTTTAATTGTGTGTGTGTGTGTGCGCGCGCGCATGCGCGCGCACCCACATGTGAATGCAGGTGCCCTTGGAGTCCAGAAGAGGGCATTGGATCCACTGGAGCTGAAGTTACAGATGGTTGTTACAGACAGTTGTTAGCTGCCTATGTGTACTGGGAGCCAAATTCAAGTCCTCCTCTACAAGAGCAACAAATGCTTTTAACTGCTGAACCATCTCTCCAGCATGCCCTCCCCCTACCCTTGCCTCCTGATTTTGAGGCAAGGTCTTACTGTGTAGCTCTGGCTATTCTTGAACTCATATTCTCCTATCTCTGTCTCCTGAGTGCTGGGATTAGAGGTCTTTGCCACCATACCCAAAAGTAATTTAATGCTGATTTCTCAATTGGGTTAGATAAGCTGGTGTCAGATTTCAGGAATCATAGATCTTTTAGCTTATTGATGGAAATTTGGTATACTAATTGAGTCAAATATTTAAAAGACTCTTTTTCACTTAATTTTTAAAGCTCAGGTTGCTCTCTCTTGAGAAGCAGGACCCATATTGTGACAAGCAGGATTGCTCAGCAATTAAAAGCTCTTACTGAGCAATTCTGACAACCTGATTTCAACCCCTGGAACCCATGTAAATTGGGAGAACCAAGTCCACAAAATTGTCCTCTGATCTCCACATGTGCATTATGGCACATATGCATCACACACATGCATCATACACACACACAATCATAATCATAAAGGAATTAAAAACAAAACAGAACTGTAGTCATTTATTATGAGAAAATTTTAAGTAGCTATGGAAAATTAGGTTTAGCATAATGATACTAGATATATAGATATAGATATAGATTGATGATTGATTGATAGATAGATGATAGATAGATAGATCGAACCCTCAAAAAATATAAATTCTTGCTTGACATGTGGTGTATACCTTTAATCTCTGCACTTAGGAGGCAGAGATAGGATCTCTGTGAGGTTAAGCAAGCCTATTCTTCATAGTGAGTTCCAGGCCAGTTGGAGTTACAGGGAGACTGTGTCTCAGAAAAATTAATTTAAATAAATAAATAAATACATAAATAAATAAATGTTCTTGCAAAGATGGTAGGTTTCCTTTTTATTATTTTCCCTCCCTCCCTCCCTCCCATTATAAACACTCACACTGTGCCTGGCCTTTATTTGGGGTCTGGGGAATTAAGCTCAGGTCTTCAGGCTTGCATAGCAAGCACTTTTACCAGCTGAGTCGTCTTTCTGGCTCAAGGCCCTATGTTTCCTCACTGTGTGAGACATACCTAGAGCCCACACTGTTGGGACATGTAAAAATGTTAAATATTGACTTGTCTTTATTTGATAGAATAGCAGTCATCATCTAGGAACCTTTTAACTAAGACAATTTTTATTTCTGAATCTCTAATCCATGTTTTAATTGTGATTTTTTTTTTTAAGGATCTTCAGCAACTACAACAGCTTCAACAGCAAAATCTCAACCTACAGCAGTTTGTGTTGGTACATCCTACCACCAACTTGCAACCAGCACAGTTTATCATCTCACAGACCCCCCAGGGCCAGCAGGGTGAGTGATTTCCTAAAACTTACTAGAGGTACAAGGCTATCCACTCAGTGTAACAGATACCTTGACTCATATTTTTACCTTAATGCTATCTATACAAGCAGTGCTGGTATTAAATTTTGCTTTTGAACTATCAGTAGTTATGAGAAAAATAAGTAATGCCTTAAAACAAAAACATAGGCTTTATGTATATGAATGAAAATGAACTTTGAAGCCTGAAAGATTAGTAAAGACTAGCTCATTAAAGAATCTGACTGGAAGTTTCTAGGATACTGACTTGAAATCTTACAGCTTAATGGTTTCCATTTGTTTGGAAGTCACTAGAGAAATAAGAAAGGTACATTTTTGTACACCACCCCCCAAAATTTTAACTAGCACTTTGGGGAGTTGAATGTGAATGTCTGAAACCTTCCAATATAGCTTCTGTAGGCTATTTTAAAGAGAAAAAAAAAGAAAAACTAAAGAAGGTTTAAGCAGAAAAGTGATATTTCTTACACTCAAACTAGGGGATTAGGATGGGAAAGAATAGAGTTAGTAACACTGGTCAAGAGGGTGTTGCTCAGTCCTGTAGTTCTGCTAAGCTTTGATAAAAGTAGAACTATGGTTATAGAGACAGAAAAGGGAAAATGATTTAGTGGGTAGAAAGGTCTCAGTTACATTTGGCTAATGGTAAGTAAGGCATCTAGGTAATTCTTGAGTTTTTAAGAAATTATGAGAGTTGATGGGTTATACATATAAAGAAAATTTATACATAGAGATAGAAGAGCCTTGGTAAAACCAACACTTTGGAATAAATAGAGTCAGAAGATGATAACTGTGATTTGGGGGTCAGAATTAGTAAAGAGTGATTATCACAACAAAAGAGATCAAGCCTAAAGTGTATGTGTCAGATTTGATAATTTTTAAACTTTGAGATTGAGATTACCTTCCTTTACTTTTGGCAAAGTCAAGGATAGTAACTTTCACATTTTTCATTTCTGAGAATTAAGATAGTTACAATAAGAAATGTAATTGTAAATTTTGCATTAGTGTATTCCTAACTTCTTCCCACCCAGTCTGTCATAGGATTGAGAAAATAGCCCAGAGTGGAAAGAATACTGATTGGCTGTAAACTATAACATTGAACAAGCCACCTAAGCTTTCTGAGTTTCACATACTTCTCCTCTTCCCCTTAACTTCCAAGTAAATAATATAAAATGTTTTATTAATTTTAGGAAGATCATCATAATGCAGTAAAGAGCATTAGGCTCTAGTCTAAAGCTAAACTGCCTGTCTCTAATGAAAGATCATTTTTTTGAACCTCAATTTCTTTACCTGCAATTTGAGAATACTTTTGGTATTTATGTCCAAGAATTACAGGGATTCACTAAGTAAATACATGAAAGCACTTTCAGAAAAGATGCCTCATACATAATAGCCTCTCAATTTTTGCCACTGTTACCATTGACATGATCATATTAGAATCATCAACAGCAATTGATAGATATAATTTGGAAAATAAAGAGTTTGTTCCTTTTTATAGTAAAAATCAGATTGAAAGTAATTTGGACTCAAGATGGCTCCGTGGGTAAAACCCTTGTGCAAGCATGACCACCCAAGTTCAGATCCCCAGCATCTACCCAGCAGACATGGTATCCTACTTGTAATCTCAAGATACAGAGACAAGGAATTCCCTGGAGCAAATTGTATAGCTCACTAATCTAGTAGAATTGGCAAGCTCTAGGTTCAAGAAGCGAGAGACCCAGCCTCAATATGTGCAATGGAGAGGATTTGAAGAAGACTCTTGTCATCAACTTCTGACCTCTACATGCACATGTCCATGTGCACTTACATATATGCATGCATTCGTGCCACTCCCAAGTAATCACACCACACACATGTACACATACCAAAATTAAATAAAATGTAAATCTAGAATAGTTTGTCCTGCTGTTGAGTTGTAATCTAAGTAGTATATGGCCTCAATTCTATCTGCTAAGACTGTCCCAACAGTGTAAAGGAATGGAGACATTTCTAGGACTGGAATCTTTGTAATTAATAGCATCAGAAAATCTGAAAATTTGATTAGATTTTCTAGCTTTGCAGTGAAGGGAACAAGGATTTGATTTGTTGAAATTTTAATGAATATTTCTAGCATGAGATTAGCCTACAATTGATTGATTATTTATGCTTTTTCTGGGGGGACTTGTTAATGTAAGACTTTTAAAGTATAGTTTATATTGTTGGCAATATTACTATGATTACACAACTATTTGAAATTAATTTTTAACATTTATTCTCTCTGAACTAATCTTGGGAAAATTCTTACTGATATTTCTGAGTCATAATTTATGGGAGATTTTATTTTGTCTTTTCTACTCTGACCATTAATTTTCAAAATAATTAATTTTGTGCGTTTAAGATTTCAGTTATTTAGGGCTGGAGAAGGTGTCGAGGGCTGGTGCTCATGTGAGTTCTAACCCTCTGTAGGTCCTCAGCATATCTGGCTGGCTTTATTTGGCAGGAATTGGAAGAAGATCTAAAGTTTGAATTTGTTCATGGATTATGCTGCTACTACAAACCAAAATTAATCATTTGGTATTTTAATTTCTTATTGAGTAGGATTCTTTCTTAAATAAGTACTTTTGTTAAAGGGATAAACATCTAATGTTCATTTCTAACTTCAAAGAAACTCATTGTTGAAATGCTCTAAATTTAATAATGTGTCTTTATTTCTGACCTTTGTGCTATCCTGTTTTATTGCTCATTGTTATTTTGTAACATTCTTGAGGTTTTATCCTTTTCTACATAATCTTTATCTAATAGATTAGTTCTAATCATTGGACATAAAATGTAGGTAGGGTTTTCTCTCTCTAGACTGCACTTCATATTTATTCAAACCTGTAAAATCAAACATGGTTAATTTGCTCAATTATTTGTTGAGTGCTTACTGTTGTAATTTTGAGCAAGATAAAAGCCTTAGTAGAAGTCAAGACAAGCATGTAAATAAATGATTTAGATAATAGTATATCCAAGTAAGACAAGAGATTGGAGTGACCTGGTAGAAGTTAGCTGTAGCAATTGGGCATGCAGTCTGATGTTGGGGAACCCTGCTGCTAGGGTTGTAGTCCTCTATGTCCGGATAGCTCTAAGGGGCTCGGTGCTATATGGAAGGACGCCCCTTCTCAGCAGGGGGCTTCCTGCTCTCTGCCTGACTTACCTGGATAGTGCCGCCAAGCACGGATGCCTGACCTTATTTGGAACGTGACCTTTGGCATAGTTACCTGAAGTAAAAACTACCCCCAGGTTTTTTCTATATGATAATCAGGCATTGCCCGGTAGTCAGATGATAGGAGCCTACTACCACATGTAAATGAAGCATACTATGAGCACCTATCAGCTGAAGCATTGGCTACTGCCTCCACACTATATTTTCCCTAACATCCCACTAAATAAACGGAGCTGTTTCACTGAGTTTCACGGAGCTGTTTGCATCACTGAACCTGCCTCCCTGGAAGGGCTTTCTTCCGTCAGTGCTCACTGGCCATCCTGACCCCGTCCGTCGCTTCTGCTCCCTTTGTCCTCGTGGACCAGTGGCCAACGACCCACGAGGAGAGGGAGCAACTCCACAGTCTGAAAGAAGGCTAGTCTGGAGAAATGACTCATAGGCAATGGAAAGTAGAGAATGGAGAGGGGAACGAGCCTGTCCTAAGTCAGGAAAGGGAAAGCCAGTGTGACTAGAGTTCAGTGAATAAGAGTAAGTGGTAAGAGATGAAATTTAAGAGCTAGGCATGGGCTGGGGAGATAGCTCACTGGTTTAAGTGCTTGCTATAGAAGCATGAGGACCTGAGTTCAGGTCTCCTGAAGCTATGAATCCATGTAAATGCTGAGTGGGTATGTCTGGCCCACCTGTAATTCCAGTGCTTGGAAGACAGAGACAGGGAATCTCCAGAGCAAACTGCCCAGCTAGACCAGCCTGTTATCAGTGAGCTCTGGGTTTAGTTGAGTCCTGTCTCCTCATCCTTAGGTGGACAGTGATTGAGGAAGACTGTATACACATACACATAAGGATGAGGAGACAGGACCAGATTGCCTAGGCTAAATAGGTTGTATTTTTATCTGATTGTAAGGGAAGATTACTGGAATGTTGACTTGGTTTGATTTTGTTAGCAAGGTCTGACTGTATAGCACAGGTGAGCCTTGGACTTCTGCCTCAGCCTCTTGTGTACTAGGGCTACCAACATGTACCACCAAGCTGGCTTACTAGCGTTATATAATCACCAAGATCACCTTAACTATTCTATAGGATTGAGCCAGAGAGAGACACTTGGAAAAAAAATCTGCTTTTAAAGAGAAGTTTGTAGTAGTGTGTATTTAGTTTTAGCATAGTTGCTTCAAAATATCAGCAAAAGCGTTCTCTAGAAAATTCAAATCTTGAGTATATTTATCTTAGGTTCTGTATTGTCAAACAAACTTTTTAATTTCTTAAATTCAAGCAAAGTTTACTTAGTAACAAACATGATAAAAACTGGTTAAAGTTTTATTGTTACCTTATATATTCCTTTATTCTGTGTATCCAAATTTAATAGCCTAAGGAAATCATAATTAGAAAGATAGACCTGCAGATATCTGTGAGATGGAGATCAGCCTGGAATGGTCTACATAGTGAGTTGTTCTAGGCCAGCTGAGGCTACATAGTGACACCTTGTCTCAAAAAAAAAAAAAGCAGAAAAGAGGGAGGGAGGGAGGGAAGGAACCTGTTAACCGACTAAACTTATTACCTTTTTTTTTTTTTTTTTTTTGAATAATAGAATTCCTTGTTTGTACCACTGCTCCTATAGCATCACAATCTTCTATTTCATATTAAGTCCTTAAATACAAATATATTCTGGGTTGCCCTTTTATCTATAACATTGCAAAAAAAAAAAAACCAAAAAACATGGACCTAAGTAATCTAGTGAGCCTTTCCTACAAATACACCTGGGGTTTAAGACAGGTTCTCACTGTGTTGTCCAGCCTGGCCTCTAACTTTGAGACTCAAGTTATCCTTCTGCCTCGGCCTCCAGAGTAGCTAAGACTACACAAGCAAGCACTTTCATACACATTTTACTTATCAATAACTTTTAAATTAAGACTGTTTAGTGCAAATAGTTGTTTACATTTCAACTTTGCTACCACAGAAAGGCGAAATGTTAAGAATTTGAAAAGAGCATCTTCTTCCACTTAAAGGATTGCCTGCTTCTTTTGGGAACTAAGTAATTCTGTCTCGATATACTAGAGGATTCTAATGAATTCTGCGTTGAGAAATTGAGTTTGGGGCTGGAGAGATGGCTCAGTGGTTAAAAGCACTGGTTGCTCTTACAGAAGACCCGGGTTTAGTTCCCACCACCCACGTGGTAGGTGACAGTAGTTCGTAACTCCTGTTCCAGGGGATCTGTACCCTCTTATGGCCTCCATTGGCATTGTATGTCATGGGTGCACTTACATACATGCAGGCAAAATACTCATACACATAATAAACCAAAAATTTTTTTTTTAAATTGAGCTCATTTTAAAATTTCCAGCTGCTTCCATTTAGAGTAATTCCTCATTCTTCTTCTCTATAGGAAATGAAGAATTGCCTTTTCAGAGAGCTTATTCAGACTACACTAAAGATATACAAGTTTTGATTTACTATTGTATAGCTTCTTTTGCCCCTGTTCTGTTTAACACAATTAACAGAACTTAATTTTAGATAAATTAGACAAGCATTTGAAGACCAACAAAACCATCAGATCAGTTGGAAATTTTCAGTTCATATTCTTCTTTTTTTTCATAAAATATTTGCTTTTTCACAGGTCTCCTGCAAGCGCAAAATCTTTTAACGCAACTACCTCAGCAAAGCCAAGCCAACCTCCTACAGCCGCAGCCAAGCATCACCCTCACCTCCCAGGTCAGTTTTCTCATTCCATTGTTTTGAGAAATTTTCAGAGCTGTTTAATTTTAAAAACAAAACAAAAACACTCTAATAAAAATAATGTAAAGTTTTCAGAAACTGGCCAAAACTAAAAGCTGGATTTATTAGCTTGATAAAGCTGTGCTACCAAATTGATGTAGACTTTGAAATTTTTCATGTTCCTCTTATTTATAATGAAAACTATGTTGGCAGTAATGAGAAATGCATTGTGGCTATCTAATGCTGGTAGATATTAACACTTAAACTGGAGACCTAGTGCCTCAGTTAAAACCTGTCTTTGGTCTTTTGCACTTTCTCAAAATCAATGAAGAAGCTTAGATCTCCATATTTTGTTGCTTTGATTCATTTCCTCTAGAACACAATTATAACTGTGCAAAAAACATAAATTGTAGGTATGTAAAAGTTTAACTTATACACTGGTTTTATGTCTATCATTTCTCACCTCTCTGGTTCTCGGTCTCTTCTTCCCCCCCCCCCTTTGATTTGTTTGTCTTTGTGAAAGAGGGTCTCCTTATAGCCACAGCTGTCCTGGAACTGGCTTTAGAGACCAGGTTGACCTCAGTCTCAAGAAAATCCAACCACCTCTGCCTCTCTCTCCACCCACCCCTACTTCTTGAGTTCTGGGATTAAAGGTGTGTGCCACCACACTTGGCTTCAGTCGCCTCATCTTTACCAACTGACCTTGAATCCTCCTTTCTAGATCTGACTCTTAAAGTATAGAAATTGGAGCCAGAGAAATGGCTTATCAGTTAAAGCTCTTGCTGTGAAAACAAGAGAACCAGAGTTCAGATGCCCAGAACTCGCTTTAAGTGCTGGATGGGCATGGGAGCCCATCTGTAATTCCAACCTCAAAAAAACAGAAAGTGGACACGGGATCCCCGAGCAAATGGACTAGCAAGACTAGCCTATTGGCAAGCTCAGGGTTTAAGAGCTCTTGTCTCAAAAACAATAAAGTGGGAAATGATGGAGGAAGATTCCGTACATCAGCCTCAGGATTCCACATGCACATATAGTACCAGAAACAAAAAAAGAAAAAGAAAACAAGTGTAGTAATTTAAACTTAATGCTAACATATTATTAACCATATTTGACAGACTTCAATACCCACTTATAATAATTTTTCATCTTGGTCAGTTTAACACACACACACAAATCACTTGACTGTTGCATTTGGACTTGTGCAAGGTGAGGCAGAACATCGTGGTGGGCAGAATGTGGGAGAGCAAAGTGACTCACTTCATGGTCGACATGAGGCAGATAGAGGAACGAAAGGGCCTAGAAGAAAATAGAACACCAAACATGTCCTGGGAGTGACCTGCTTCCTCTAAGCAGGCTCCATTTCTGAGTTTCCACTCCCCAGTAATGTGATCAAATCATGAATACAACAGTTCACTGACAGTCATAATCTGGTCATTCCCCAAAAGCCCATCAGCTTGCAACCAAGATTTTTATACCAGAGCCTTTTGAGGGATGCTTCATATCCAGAGTGTAGTACTAGGAATAGAAAGCAACTTTTTTTTCTTTTAAGACAAAGTCTCCTTATAGCCCCAGCTATTGTAGAACTCACTACGTAGACCAGACTGGCCTCAATCTCACAGAGATCCTCCTGCCTCTGCCTCCTAGGTTCTGGGATTAAAGTCATGTTCACCACATTCGGCAGAAAGCAACTTTCTTAAACCTGGTAAAGAACATCTGGGGCACAGATCAGAGATGGTGCAGAATCACACTTAATACTGAAAGACTGAATAGTACCTTCCTTCTAAGATAAGAACAAGGCAAGGTGATCCCTATTATTACTTTAATTCACAGTTGTTCTGACAGTTCTTACAATATAAACAGATAAGAGAAAAAGCACAGAGGGATTTTTTTTCCCCCTTTTCCTTAGAAAGTAAGAGTTAAAACTTTAAAACTATCTTAATTCACATACAGCATGTCTGTCTATATAGAAAATTCTAAGGAATCTTAGGGAGAAAACACTTGCTTCAATAATAAGTGAGTTGAGGGGCTGGAGAGATGGTTAAGAGCACTGAGTCCTCTTGCAGAAGACCCAGGTTTGAATCCCAGCACCTACATGGCAGCTAACAACCATCTGTATAGTTACAGGGGATCTGACACCCTTTTCTGACTTCTGTGGGAACTGCATGACATGGGTGCACTTACATACATGCAGGTAATATACTCATACACATAAAAGTAAATAAAATTTTTTTTAAAAGAATAAGTGAGTTGAAGGCCTATAGAGATGACGCCATGGTTGAAAGTACTGGTTGCTCTTTCAGAGAACCCCGATTCCCAGCACCCACATGGCAGCCAACAACCATCTGTAACTCTAGTTCCAGAGGATTCGATGCCCTCTTCTGAAAACTTGCAGGCACTGCATGACGTGTGCGCTTACATACATGCAGGCAATGCACTCATACACATAAAATAATAAGCTGGGCGGTGGCACATGCCTTTAATCCCAGTACTTAGGAGGCAGAGGCAGGCAGATCTCTCTGAGTTCAAGGCCAGCCTGGTCTACATAGTGAGCTCCAGGACATCTGGGGCTACAGGGAGACCCTGTTTGGGTGTGGTGGTGCACACCTTTGTTCCCAGGATTCAGGAGGCAGAGGCAGGTGGATCTCTGTGTCCAAGGCCAGCCTGTTCTACATAGTTCCAAGCCACCTGGGAGACTCTCTCTCCCTGTCTTAGGGAAAAAAAAGTGGCTTGAGCAAGTATGTAGGATAGAAAATCAATATACAGAATCTACTTATGTGTCTGTATGCTGGCAGTCATCATTAGGAAGCTTTAATAAAGGAAAATTCCTGTTCTTAGGGGAAAGCTTAACAGAATTTACAAAATCTACTATATTGAAAACCACAGAAAATATTGCTGAGTGAAGTTAAAGAAGACCTATGAAAGAAATATGTACAGATAAATGTATGTATTCATGAATCAGAACACTAAAGTTGTTAAAATGTCAAATCCATAATCACTGCCCAGCAGACTTTTTTGGGGTAGAAATTTACATGCTCTTTCTAATATTTGTATGGAATTATAGAAAACAGAATAGTTGAACAATTTTTCAAGGTAAGAAAGTTGAAAGGTTACTTGATGTCAAGAATTATTGCAAAATTATAGCAATGAAGGCTGTGTGGTGTTGGTTCTATATAGATAGAAATGTAGGCCAATGGAATAGAGTCCAGCAGACACTAGGATAAAGAGCCAGCTAATTTTCTAAAAGTGCCAAAGAATTCCAGTGAGAAAAGGAAGTCTTTTCAGGAAATGATAACTGGCAGTTGACTATTTATTAGCAAATAAAATAAAAGGTGCCACCCTTATTTCATACAATATTCAAAGATTAATTTGAAGTGAATCATAAACCTAAACTTCCAGAAGAAAACTTGGGATAAAATGTTTGTGCTCTTGGATAAGGCAGTGATTTCTTAAATTGGACAGAAAAAGCATTAACCATAAAAGAAAGCAGTAAATTTCATTAGCTCAGGCATAGTGTCACATGCCTTTAATCCAAGCACTTGGGAGGCAGAGACAAGTGGATCTCTGTGAGTTTGGGGCCAACCTAGTCTATGTAACAAATTCCAGGCCAGCCAGGGCTACGTAATGAGATCCTGTCTCAATCAGTCAGTCAATCAGTCAATCAATCAAATAAATAACCCTGCCTCAGAAAATAACCCTGTCTCAATAAATAAACGAATAACAAATTTCATAAAAATTAAATGCTTAAAGGAATAAGAAAAACCACAGATAAGGAGAAAATACTCAAAGCATCTGATAAACGATTTTTTAAGGTTTATTTTACTTTTAATCATGTGTGTGTATGTGTGTGTATATCTGAGTATGGGTACCTATGGGTGCTCTTGGAGGCCAGAGGTGTCAGATTTCTGAGATATGAAATTACAGGCAATTGTGAGCCACCTGATATGGGTGCTAGGGGAACTGAACTCAAGTCCTTGCAAAAGCAGTACAAACTCTTAATCATCAAACCACCTTTCCAGTCCATAAAAAAATGACATAACTACAATAAAGAACTCTTACAATTCAGTGGTAAGACAACCAGATTTAAGCTAGTTAGAGGAAAAAAATGTTACCCAATAAAGATATATTAATGTCCAGTAAGCATATAAAAAAATATTAGTTATCAGGAAATTTAATATTCTGAAATATCAATATACATTCACTGAATTGACGCAGCTCTGAAGGCTTTGAGGCTGTTGATAAGAAAGTAAAGCAGCTAGATTTCTCATACATTGCTAGTAGTTTTGCAAAAATGTAATCACACTTTGTAAATTGGTTTGGCATTTTCTTACAAAATTAAATATATATGTAC